CAAGAACGCACTATGTTCAGAACAAGAACGCACTATGTTCAGACCGAAGGACGCACTATGTTCAGACCAGAACGAGAAGCAGCAGTGAGGTGTGGGAGGAGCGTGTCCTCGGCAGGTGAATAAAGATAAAATAAAAGAAAATGCCTTTGATTTATTTACTAAAAAGCAAGCAAACGTTGCGCACAGCAGATAATTAACTCACCAGATGATTTAGAGGCGATTTGTTCGGTTAGTTTCGTCACTCCAGAAGCTACCAGCTCACTGACTTTTTTTTTTTAGTCCCGAGCAGCTGATCCACATCGGTGCTGATATATCCTGCCAGAAAACCCAACTGCACATGGTCCATTTCAGGTAAAGATCTCCAGTCCGTCTGTTCCTGTTTTCAGTGGGAGACGCGTCGAGCGGCGAAAGGTTCAGATATTTGAACTCTGGCGGCGGCTCGGGCGGCGGCTCGGGCGGCGGCTCGGGTGGCAGCGGCTTCCGCAGCACCGCATGCGCGGAAAATGCTTCCGCCATTTTGCGCACCGCCCAAAACGTACGTGACGCGACGCACGACCCCTAGAGGCGCGTCCTCCATAGACTTTGCATGTAAACCGGCCGCTTCTGCTGCTCAAAACGCGTTCGGTGTGAACGTAGCCTGAAACAGTCCCTCCAAACTGCCGACGTCAGCACGGGATGTCGCAGTTTAATGACGAAAATTATGTCACCGGGCTTCGCAGCGTCGGCTCGGCCACCACTTTTGGCACAAGCCCCCGGCAGAACTTTTTGACCCCTCTCCCGTGTCGACGGTATGTGTGATTGGTCTGAAGTTCGTGGGCATGTTTGTTTGTGCTGAAGCGTTCGGACACTCAAAAGGAAAAAAAAACCTCGCTTCTGACTACAGCAGATTGTTGAAGCAGAGTTTTATAAAGATAGGTCAAAGCGAGAAAAACTCATGCGTGTTTGTGCTGAAAGGGCTATACGCTGCATTTTCCTTTTTTTTTACCGAGTGGTTGAAGTAAATGCAGCGCTATGCGCTTCGGTCTGCATTTAAAAAAAAAAGGAAAAATAAAAAATAAACCGACTCGCTCCCAGAGCCGACTGTTACCAGAAAGCAGAGTTTTATAAAGATAGTCATTCCGTGAAAAACTCATGAATGGAGATAAACAGACATTGTGCACGGAAGAATCTGACTGATAAAAACTGCGGAGCTAAACCAGGACAGATGTGGATAAATACGTTGGGTGAGTGACGAGTCTTTTTTTTCTGCATTGTCGGCAGTGATGTATGCTGCAGCGGGAGGGGGGTTTCCCAAGTTCGGAGCAGGGTGTATGAAAGGTCTGTGTGAAAACGACTGCCGAACAACCACRTGACCGCACGTCRACCCGTCGGCGTCGGAGCGAGTATGTTTCAGGCTTTAGACGTGCCAAGACTCAACCACCACTTAAAGTAATTAAAATGGCTACAAAACTAAACTTGTCAAAGCAAACAGAAGTAAAGCCTGCATGCTGAAGTAGACAGAGTGCAGAACTGCACATAGGAACGGACAGCAAATGTCCAGCTGTTGATCACTGAGTCGTCTTTGAAAATCTCCCATTCAGCGAGCTCAAAGCAGTCCTGAGTTAAGATGTCTCCTCAGTCCAGTCCTGGGGTCTCATTTATAAAGGATTGCGTGGAAACCATACTAAAACTGAACGTACGCCAAAAAAAAAATCTGATTTATAAAACCGTGCGTATGCACGTTTCTGTGCATCTTTCCTTTATAAATCACAGCCGCACGTCAGAGTTTGAGCATGAGGTCCTCCTCAGGTTCTACCCTCTACACGCCCACACTCAACCATAAACAGTCAATGTAAAGTACCTCATGAATGTTAAGATGTATTTAAATCAGTCAGATGATCAGTGATTGGTTCAGACACACTCCATCGTGTGTCTGGAGGATTACAGGTGCTGACTTACAGCTGCCCCCCTTGAACAGATTGTCTGTAACTGACACAG